CCCCAAAACCCCAAAACCCCAAAACCCCGTTATGCTAAATAACATATGAATTTTCATAATTAATTTGAGGATATAATTATCTGCTATTAACTATTCATTAAGGATTCTAAGCATTTTATTAAGACTATAACTTTTGCAGGTCTTCAAGTGTCGCGCTCTGCTTAAGAACCTCGTAATTGATCTCATTAAGGTTAATTTTTCCTCTTCTTCTATAGAATAAGTTGTAGGCTGAGCTTGAGACTATTCTGCTTTCAGAAGTCTTTGAGATACTGCTGTCATCAAATGAATACCACTAGTTATCCATCCAATTAAGGCCGAAAGCTGTATAATGACCACCTCCACAGCCACCGAAATGATTGGAGATACCGAACAAGTCATAAATGTACTCCTCTCCATCTGGGGCCTTTTGCAAAATATAGGGAGATAAGTCTAATGATTAGATCTAAAAATCTACTAAGGTATCAAGCTTTCCATTACCTCCACTGTACATGGAGAATCTTTGTCTTCCATGCTTGAATCTCTTAAGATTAATAACTAAAACTGCTGGTGCTTTGTAAATCTCCAAAATTTTAGTGGCTTAAACATGCTATTTACACTTGCTACAGTACCACATATTATCTTTATCTAGTTGCTCGGGCTTAGAAAACTCTTCAAGGCAATCTTACAATGTAATTTCATGCTCTTATCTTTATAATGGATCCTAAGATGGAGTGTTTAGTTATGAGTTTGGAAATGCAATCGCAGTTTGGAATGAATCAAAGAAGCTTTTTTCTATTTTGTTGTTCCAAACTATCTCAAAAATAACATCGCTCTTTCCACACTTGTATCCTTATTAATAAAAGCTTTGATTTGTATAGATACCCACCTTCATCAGAATATCTCTAAATGATGCATCTGATCTAAAAGGTAATGGGCACCCATCACATCTTTTGTCTCCGCAAAATTGACAAGCTTCCATATAGCCAGACATATTTTTAATTCTTACTGTAAATGGGGCTTCATGTATCTGGAGATCATTTCTCTTCAATACGTCCATCCAATTTTACTCATTTAGTCCAGGGAAAGCTACTGCGAATTTTTCTTCACTACTTAGTGCTAAGAATTCATCAATGCTTATTTGTTATTGCTCATTTTCATCGATTGAAACTTTTCTGAATGGCAATAATCTACTCTTATCCTGAGGGAGGTATTCGAAGTGACCTGCAAAAAACTCTAAAATCTGATAGTGGACTTCTTTGAGACTTTTGTTGCTGTCAACCCATAAAATTCTTGGAATGTTATTTGTTCTGATTGTGTATGAGCTAGAGTATTAGTTTTTCTACGACATCATCATAGTCATGACCACCTTCGTGTATTCTTCCGATAGGCCAAAGTTGGAGTCTGCTTTATCATTCTTTTCTTAGGCTGGCAGTTATGGATTTAAATTTGGATTAATTTGATAGAGTATAACAGTACCTCCTCCTATCATCTCCTCTATCCTACTGTTTTAATCAACCATTTTTCTAATGGTATTATCAGCAATAATCGTTACAATGAATGAAGACTCATCTATGCCAAATCTTTAAAAGATTTATTATCTGAAGTCTCTTACAGAATCGCTGTCTCTGAGAAAAACTGCTCCCTTATAATTCTTATAGTTGGGAGAAATGTTATAAGGGATGTAGAAAAAATCAATTTTATCTTTTTTCCCTGGTATTGGAAGGGAAAGTGTCATGAATGGATCGAAAGTTATAGATACTCTTTTGCAGTCACTGCAGACAAGTGTTGACTTGTATTATCCATGAAATAGATCAACAATGATACTTTCATTTCTGACTAAATGTTTAAGCCAAGCTTCCTAACTGGCTTCTTCATCATTTCTTCCGTTTGCTTCAGTCATTTCTACATATGGTTTCTTTGGCTTTCTGTAAAGATCCTCACTCAATAAATCTAAGATAGAGTTGATACACTCTTGAGAGTCATGTTGGCCGAAACCTTAGAATTACTGAGCATATTCTCCTAAGATACGTTTGAACATATGAGGTCTAACAACGCTATCATCCTGATTCCACATTTCATTTAAGAGCTTTGCATAAGCTTATACGAGTCTTCCAGATGTTCCCAATGGATTATCAGCATTTAAGTCGTATTTAAATCTTTCATCTAGGAAATATTTAGTCAATTCGTAACAATTGCTTAGGCATTATAGACTACTGTTCATGTAACATGTATTTCCGAGATTACCTAATCCAACTTTACCATCTCTAGCTCTTGGGCCTCTTTAGAAACTAGAAACGCCTCTTTAGAGTTCTGCGTCGGCTTATGCGCTACAATTTGGCATGTGCCATCTTTGATCTTTTTCCTGGCAGCTAGAATTGCAATATCTGACTCTTTTGCATACGCATTCGATCTTTAAAGTGCGTTTTTAAGTGCAAAACTCGCATTTTCCAATGAATATTCTTTGATTTTTCTTATATTAAAATGCAAATTTGAGATGCTCAGACTCTCTATATTCAACTATCACTGTAGTTTCATTCAAGCTGTCATCTTCTAGATTTGAGGATGTTTGGTAGTAAGGTTCAAGTGATTCTCCTGGAAACTCAACGCCACTATTAATCTCAAGGTCTGGGTCATTAATACTATCCACTTCAATTCTATCTCCTCTTTCACTAATCTGTTGGCAAGCATCCACGAGCTTTTCCTTAGTGTCAGTAAACTTCCACAGCCTTACATCAGAATCTGTTAAGTTAAGTTAAAATTTGGCCTTAAGACAGTCTATTATTCTTCTCTTAAGATCTAGATAATTCTTTCTCTTACTAAGTTATACATTGTATTCAAAATCAAGTCCTTATAGAGCTTCACCACCCTTGTAAAGATTGGTAACTGGTAGTAACACTACTGAGAGTTGCTTCAATCTGGTTTCTACAATGGTATAGTATGTACCCTGAGGGACAGTATATCTTTTTATTTCTGATCCGCCATATTTGGAGAATAGAAATTCCCATAAGTCTTAGTTAATCAGTTTATACTCGAATCTTTCTCTTACATTTGGCTTTAGATACTTATCAAGATAATTTTTCTCAAACTGATCATTAGTTCCTGATGCCACCAAATTTTTATTACTTAAGTCACAAAGGTATTCATCATTCTTGATTGGACCGGGATGCATGATCTCTGCAGACTCTACTGGCTTAATGTGACTTCTAACTGCTTTATAGTGCACGTACTATTTATAAATCTTAAACCAGTGCTTTGAAATGATGAAGCAGGCTTTTCCCACAGCTGGATTTCTCTCCATTTTGTTTTTGTTGTAGAGAGTGATAAATTGCTTGCACTCTTCAACTAGTTCCTCTAGAGTTTTAGACATGCTAAAGTTAGTTAATTATTTTCTGATATAGATATATTAAATACAATTTCAAATTTAAAACATTAATTTGATGTGCGGGGTTTTGGGGTTTTGGGGTTTTGGGG